CAGATGGAAGTATGTCATCTATATAGACCAAGATTTTGTCCTCTTTGATCAGGGGCTGTAAAATATGATAGATTCTTTTTTGGAATTCGGCGGGGGACTCACAGTATCCAAAGGGTAACCGCAAGTACTCGTATTGGCCGTCTGGAGTAGCAAATGAAAAAAACTTGGTAGAATCTGGATGTATTTTGATTAGATGAAAACCATCCTTTAAGTCAATTAAAGTGAATACCTTAGCGTTGCCAAATCTGGATAAAAGATCCTCAATTACTGGAAAAGGAAACATTTGCTTAATGACTCGATCATTAAGGGGACGTAAATCTACACAAAGTCTTAGTTTTTTATTTTTCTTACGTATCGGTACGACTCTAGCGCAATAACAAGAGTTACTCGGTTTGATAATTGCTCTTTTAAGGAGATCATCAATAATTTCGCGTATTTCTAGTCGTTCTGTATGAGCAAATCTGCGAGGTGCATACGCAAAAATGGAGTCGTCCTTTAGCCTAACCTTAACACTATATTCATCGTTTATCGGAGCAACAGGAGTATTTTGTACTTCCTCAATAAGCTCGTTAATTTTCTGATCACCGTTAATACCAAAATCAGTGTCAAAAGCTATTTTCTTAATGTTAGTTTCTAAAAAATCGGCAGATGCAACTTCTTTAAATAACTGCAATTTATCTGATTCATTGGATGAATTAGGTTTGTATAAAAGAGATAAATCATTGTTAGAGATGAAATCACGACCTAAAACAACGTGTGTTGACCATAAGTCGTTAACCACAATACGTAGTTGTACGTTAAAAATATTATGAGGCAGTATTGATAAGCTGATATTCGCGTCTTGAATTGCAAGGACTTTAACATTGGTATCATTCAAAGTAATTAAATTATCAATAACTGGTTTATCATAGCTAGAATTTTGTCCGAAGAATAACTTGTATACCGGACTTAACATGAATGAAACGGGGCTTCCGGTATCTATTAACGCAAACATGCTACACTTTGAACCGTTAATCGAACTTATCTCGACTATAGAGTTACTTGACTTTGATGTATGCACTGAGTTATCGAGAACACATCCCACTTGAGAGGGATTGTCCTTCTGCGTTACTGGAGCTGCGACGGATGCAGAGGCACTCGTCGACTCAGAGCTAGAAGATTGATTCTTCTTGCGAAGTTTAAAACAGTCTGCTTTTACATGGCCTATTGCCTTACAATAAACACAGGATACTGCACTATTACTCTTCGTTGATTGTGATGAAGATTCCGTTGTAAGAAGCACTGGCGTCTTGATACGCTCCTTTTCTGCCACTGGAGGTGGAGACTTCTTAACGTTGATGGCGCAGGAGGAGATAATTTGTCCCATTTGCTCCAAAAAGTCGTCCATTGAATTGGTTCTTATAGCTGCTGCAGTGCTGCGTAGAGATAAACTATTGATGCCATTGATTATCAATTGTATGCGGTCTCGATCTGGCAATTGTAAATTATTCATCAGTTTCATTTTTTGTAAAACGTAGTCGTGGAATGACTCCTTTGGAAAATTCCATTTCCGTGACTCAACTTTTTGCATGAGTACTTTTGCAAAGTACATGAAAAGGCACGTACCTTTTAAAACGTTTAATGATAGCGTTTTTGAAAGAAAACCAAGAGTCGTTGATTTGCCCATCATCTAAGTCAAACCATTCTCTTGCATTTTTTGTGAGTTTGCTCGATGCGGCAAGAAGAGTAACACCATCTTGTACTCCATGTATTGAAGCAACTCTTTCAACTTTTCGAATCCAAACTTCGACGTCGTCGTCTTCCGTACCACTGAAGACAGAAATTTGATTAGCTAACAGCTTAACAGCCTGTGCAGGGGATACACTAGCCAAAGGCGGAAAAACATTAATATGTCGATTATTGTCCATAGATGCTGGACCATCCATTGAATTTCGAACTGATGACGAAGAAATTGTAATTGGCGGGTGTTGATTCGTTGGCGCCACTGATGTTGACGGAGGGGCATTTCTCGTGCCTGACTCAGCGGTGGTGACCGCCAGCGCCGGATTTACATAAGGGCACTTGGGGCACGTGCCCCGGGCCCCCACACAATGGGGGCCACCACAAATACATTATCAAATAATTAAAAAAATAAAAATTTTTTATCATACATTTATTAACCTTGAATGCTTATTAACTTGAAATTTTACATATTTTGAATAAAATATACCCCAAAACACTCGTGCTATCTATTTAACTCGTGTTTAATATTTCTTATTCTATTAAAGATTTAACATTTTCAATGAAAAAAATACTGAATTAATTTTACAATACAATCACAAATTATTATAGTTATTCAAATCTAAAAAATATATACCTAATAACTATTTAAAATATAATCATACAATTATTAGGTATTTATTTTTAAAATATAATATACATTTTCAAAACTGATTTCAATTTCGTGCTGAAATCAACAACCAATCGCGACACGAAAAGTTTTCAGACATATTCAAAATTCAAAAGAGGTTAAAAATTGTTAAATTTTTTTCGAACTTGAAACTTGGTGAAACGAACTTCAAAAAAAGATTTCTCTAATATGTAATGATAAAAAATAAAGAAAATTAGATATTTTTAAAATAATTTTAAACTGAGTTTTTTAATTTAAAAATAAAAAGAAAAGAATTTCTCTACAATCATCTTTTTTGTCATGCTGTAAAATTATCCTCACAAAAAAATCGAAAAAAATTCAACAATTTTTAACCGATTTAATGTACAATTTTATGAGTACTGATCATAGGCTATATAATGTTAATCATTCAACATTCATAGCTGAAAAGAATTTCTTTTTTTAAAGTAAATCAATAACAATTAAAACCTGAATTTTTTAATTAAATTGAAACTAATAATTTAAAATGCTGCACCACAACAATTTTACATTACGTATTGTAAAATCAAAAGTTTTTACATCAGACTTGTATTTTTTACTATTTCAATTTCAATTTTTCAAATATCGCGGTTTAATTATCCAAGTTTACGCAAGTTTGACTCGCGAGCCACGAGCACGTTCTCGCGCTTCTTATGCAAGTTACGGTAGGTTTAACTCGCGAGCCGCTAGCTTGTTCTCGCGCTTCTTACAGTGCACTAATAAGACGGACGTCTGTAGTGTCGTATATTTTATTCGTAACATATAAAGTATTAAAGTGTGTAATAATAACGTATAACAATGAGTGATCAAAGTGATAGACATAGAGGTAAAAGAATTTGTCAAAGTGGGAGTGCTAAGCGAAAAGCAGCAATTGATAAACAACAAAAAGAAAAAGAGATTCTTTCAAAAACGCGACGCATGTCCGATTTTTTTCTTCACAAAGTAAATCGCAAACTTCTGCATTACATGAAATAGATTCAAATAGTTTAGCTTCTATATAAATTTTGGAAAACAACGATTTAAATGGTGCATCAACATCGACAAATCTACTAGACAAAGAAGACAAAAAGGTAAGCATATAAAAAAGTGCTTACTTGCATAAAAAAACCGAGGAAACTTTGCGCTGTAACCATCCATTTTTTAGATATGTTTTTCAGCATTTCTTTACAGAAATACGTTCCTTATTACAAGGGCTGCCGGGTGAAGTAATGTATAGTCAGTATTCGCTGCTTATAAATAAGAAAAATCAAACTTGAAAGTTTGACGTCAAAATTCGAGGTTTAATTTTTCCTTGTCAAGCTGTTGAATTCGTCGGCAGACGTGAAACTTTCAGGTTTGATTTTTCCTATATACATATAAGCAACAAATCGTGACAACATTGCTTCACCCGGTAGCCCTTGCAATAAGGACCTTATTTCTATAGAGAAATGGGGTTTTCCGGGAAAATTTAAATGTCCTGAAAATTAATTGTAGCATTATTTAGAGTTACTAAGAGCAACACAAATTATTAATATGACACTATCTATGTTTATTTCTTTGTAAAAATGATTTAAAAAACTGCATAGATATAGCTAACATTTTTCAGCTAGAAGGTTGCGCCTCATTGGCCGTGACGTCATTATTAGGCATTGTTGAGACAGCAGCTTTAATTTCTGATACATTAAGTTTTAAAAAACTGCTTGTCAACCAATCGGCGAACAGTTACGAGTAGAACATCCTACTGAACTCCAACAATCTAAAATGTGATTGGCTGTTGTACCATCTTCACAGCGTAATGCCTAATAATGACGTCATGATGAATCAGGCGCAATTTTGTAGTTCTGACATCTTAGCTATATCTATACAGTTTTTAAAATTATTTTTGCAAAGAAATAAACATAAGTAGTGGCATATTTATAATTTGTATTGCTTTTAATAGCTTTAAATAATGCTACAGTCAATTTTCAGGACATTTAAATTTTTTCCGGAAAACCCCATTCTGGAAAATATACCTAAAAAATGAATGGTTACGGTGGAAACGTCGGATTTTTTAAACTCTTAGCTAAAAAATTGAATTTTTTGTGAAAAAAGTCAAATTTTTCGAAAATTTTTTTCTTTAACGTATTTTAGCATAAAAGCTCAAATTTTATGTAGTTCCAGTATTTTATTCTTGCAATTGTATTATATAAAATTTTTGCAATTTTATATTTTAAAAAAGCATGAATATTTTCAGATTTTAATAACAGAAAAAAGTAGGGGTGAGGATGGTTTATCAAATGATATAGATATGTGGCCGGATGATATGAAACAATGGAGTTTTTATTGGTTAAAAAACTTCGATTTTTCTGTACAACATTGCGACAGCCATTTATTAAAAAATAAATCATTAGAACAATCGGATGGACAGAAGATCAGAAAATGTACCGTAAGCATGTTCGAAAAAAAACGGCTAACGGAGAAGTTATCAAACGTTCTTGGTTGTGCTTTTCTCCTACTACTCGTCGTTTATATTGCTTTTTTTTACAAATTATTTGATAAATCTTTTGCAAATCAATTTATACACAATGGCTTTTGTAACTGGAAACACGCGAATGAACGTTTAGTACAGCATGAAATGTCAAATCATCATTTAAAAGCTCTGGTACAATATAATAGTCTTTTGAAAGAACAAGGACAAATTGATAAAGAACTCAAAAAAGAAATCGAAAATACCACTAAGTATTGGCTAAATGTTTTGAGGCGTGTGATTGACGATATATTATTTTTAAGTGAAAGATCATTAGCTTTTAGAGGTACTAATGAAATTCTAGGCTCGCCAAACAATGGAAACTTTCTAGGAATAATCGAGTTATTGTCAAAATATGATCCTTTTTTAGAAGAGCATATAAAAAAATATGGAAACTGTGGAAGTGGACATGTTAATTATCTCTCGTCAACTATCTATGAAGAACTCATCGAAGAAATTGCCAAATTAGTATTCAGCGAAATATTGATACGATTGAAAAAAGCTAAAATATATTCAATTTCTTTAGATGGAACAAGTGACGAAGGTCATGTTGATCAACTGACTTTTATTTTTAGATATGTAGAGAATAGTACGCCAGTTGAAAGATTTCTAAAATTTTTACCTAATCAAGGCCACAAAGCCGTTGACATGTTTAATGCATTGATACATTTTTTAAAAGAAAACGATATTGATATAAGCAATTGCCGAGGTCAATCATATGACAATGCATCGACCATGAGTGGAAAATTTAACGGACTTCAAGCTTTAGTAGCTAAAGAAAATGATTTAGCAATATGGATACCCTGTGTAGGACACAGTTTGAATTTGACTGGAGAAAAAGCTTCTGATGCTTCGACGTCTTCAACGAATTATTTCATGTTCCTTCAATCTATTTACGTGTTTTTTTCAGCTTCAGATTGGCGTTAGGCATTGCTTAAAGAAGTATTGGAATCAGATAAAACTGGAAAAGTCAAAATAAAAATGCCACAACGAGTTGAGACCACTAGATGGAGTGCTCGAGGAGACGCTAATGAAGCTTTTGTACGCGGTTATAAATCAATCAGAGATACTTTATTAGATATATCTCAAAATACTAAGTACGATACGAAAACTCGATGCGAAGCTTCAGGTCTTCATAAAAACATGTGTCGTTTAGAAACTGGGATCATGGCGTCGCTTTGGAATGATATTCTTCAAAACTTGAATAAAACTAGCAGCACGATTCAAAATCCCAGAATACTGTTGAATACCGCAATTGCATGCATAAAATCATTAAAAGAATACGTCGCAGAAAAACGAGATAACTTTCCACACTATGAGGATTTAGGAAAAAAACTAACTGAAATAACGGAATATCAAAGCAAACGTATTCGAAAGAGAAATGTTCGTTTAAACTCTTCTAATGATCCTGAAACACCAGAAGTTGAATTTTCAGTGTCTGAATCATTTCGTATCTCTCAATATCTTCCAATAATAGATGCTTTTATCAACGCTTTGAATCAAAGAATAGGAGCATACGAAGAAATTGAATCGAGATTTGGATTTTTATCTAAGCTCGATGAATTAAGTCATGCCGGAATTACCGAAAGTTTTCAACGGTTGATACGTATTTATTCCAATGATTTAGATTCTGGTCTTGAAGAAGAATTATTACAATTTCGAAATTTTTGTTTACATTTACTGAAACTCGATTCGAACATGAGTAAAGAACAAGCAATGTACTCATTGATTATTGACAAAGGAGTTCGCGAATCTTTTCCAAATGTTGAAATGGTCCTAAGAATATATCTAACTTTAATGATATGTAACGTGACCGGTGAAAGATCATTTTCTAAATAATTTATTATTAAAAATGTGTTGCGAATATCTATGACTCAAGACCGATTAAATTATTTAACAGTCATGAGTACGGAACGAGATATATTGCGGGAAATAGACATTAAAAAAGTTATTAAGATTTTTGCAGAAAAAAAAGCACGGAAAGTTTTTTGTTAGTTTTATGTACGTATATTGATTTGTTTTCTTGTTACGTAAATGTTTTACGACTGTACTGAATATTTTGTACCAACAAATTTAAACCTTTGAAAACTAACCGCAAAAATTTGATCCTTCCTAAATTAAAACGATTATCTAATATAATATATGATGACCACGAAAAGTAACTGATATATTACTAAATGTGCCAGTTCAAAGTGAACGTACATATAACGAATATTTTCTATGTTGAATATGTACCACGAAAAGGAACTGATAGATTATTCAAGGTGCAAATTCAAATTGAACATACATACATATAAGTAAAACAGATTAGAATTTGTATATTACAGTTTTCTAGAAAATAACTGCAATATGTTATTCTTAGTGCACAAAATATAAAAGTCGATTATTGAGATTCGTTTTGAAATTTATACTAGCCCACTGTCTAAACAGTCTGTTCGAGACGCAGTGACAGGAAGCTTGAGCTTAATAAGTTCGTCTCTCAACTGCTCGTAAGATAATCCATCGAGGCGTTCGCGATCCATTCTGAATAACGATCGATAAAGTCAATGCGATAAATCGATAAACGCCGTGAATGCACGTAACTTTGTACACTCGTAAACCGAACAGTTACCAACCAATCCGAACTTGTGTTGGCAAAACATTAAGATGGCGACGTTGATTCGCGCGCGCAAACGGAAACCGTTGAAGACGTTGAATACAACGTAATGGCGACTATCTGATACAATAGTCGTAAGGCAGCGGCAAATGCCGAGAATGCCGAAAAGCTTTACGTACACCAATTGATGCACTCACGAAAGGCGTAAACGAGAATCACTCGCTTTTGAACGCTTGTAAACGTGAATCGACAAGATGACGACACGTATCACGAACACTGTTACACAGCGGGAAAAAGGCTTTCAGCGTATTAACTGAACTGGAAAACACTTGTAAACGTGAATCGACTAGTTGACGACACGTATGACGAACACTGTTACACAGCGGGAAAAAGGCTTTCAGCGTATTAAACCGAACTGAAAAACACTTATAAACGTGAATCGACAAGATGACGACACGTATCACAAACACTGTTACACAGCGGGAAAAAGGCTTTCAGCGTATTAAACCGAACTGAATAACCCGAGAGGTCACGAACCGACCGAAAACTATAGCAACCGTAATAATCACGGAGCGAAACTTGTACCGCTCGAATGCCGACGAACGCGACGTTCAGTACAAAGAAAATGTGTGTGGATACAAAGGACAAAGGATCCAAGATGGAATCCGAGAGGCAGGACAGAGAGTGGAATCCCACTTCTGAGACTGTAAGGTTTCGACAAGGTTAATCGAGGGGTAGAAATAGAAACGTAACCGGTTAAGGAAACGATGGAAAGATGTCAGGAATAGTTTGAATGATTTAGGATGAAACACACGTTAGTTAAAAACACACTTTATTGCAGAGCGTCTAGGACGCGACTTGTTAACGTATTCTTGAACTTAGAATAATCTGTCGACCAATCACACGGTCTCTTCTCCATAGCACAGCGCCACGCTGTGGTAGGGAGTCTGGTAACGAGCGCATTTCCAACTTAAAAACTATGAGAAGCGAGTTGTCGCTTACAGCTCTTTCACGTAAGAATACTCTTTCTTCGATCAGATCGGTTTACGACGTTTGTCAGTTTTGTAATTTTTAAAATGGCGGCGCGTCTAAAAGGCCAGTCTCAATTTTCTTTTAATAGCTCAAAATGTAGCCCCAGGTGTCTACTTTGTTATTCTAAAAGGACTTAATGGGTCACGCATTAGTTTAAGAGTAAGAACTAGGAAAGTGAGACAATGTCGTTTCGTCACCTTGCCGGCGCGTCATCACGCTCGGCCCAGTCACCCGGCATGGATCGCTGTTAATCACTGATGATATTTCTGTACATGCACATGAGTGATAACGCCGCCGGCAGGGTGACGGAGCGACTGCCTCACTTTCATAACTTTTACTCTCAAACGAATGCGTATCCCATTAAGTCCTTTTAGAGTAACAAAGTAGAAACCTACGGCTACATTTTGAGCTATATTAAAAGAAAATTGAGACTAGCCTTTTAGGTACGCCGCCATTTTGAAAATTTCAAAACTGACAAACATCGTCGTAAACTGGTCTGATCGAAAAAAGAATATTCTTAGATGAAAGAACGTTCAATTTTCTATAAGGAAACGTCTACATTTCATTTTCAAACTTGCCTTTCATGCCCACTAACGACAAACGAAAAGGGCGCTGCGATGAGAAAGCCCAAAAATTGACGGCTCTACAGTTCGGCAACCAGTTAGCCTAGAGGTATATTATTCGGCATAGAGTCTTTATTCATGAAACTGTTTAAGTTCAAGCAATATGAACGAAATCCATGAAACTTCGCAAAATGGGTGGCCCACTTGGCATGGACCTCATATATATTCAAAGTTACGTATTAAAAGTTGGCCTTTTGAAATATCATTTTTGATCTAACTTTTGCAATTTATAAGATATCCGGATCAAATTGGGTATGCTAGTGGACTCTTACCAGCTAAATAATCAGAGGAAGTGAAATGCCTAATCGAGTTTTGTACACAGGATGTTGGTGTGTGTTGATACGATTGATTTATTTGTATCATTTCTTTTTATGTTTGATCCTCGGTTTGGATCCTTATTAAGAAATTCTAATATTATAAAATCATTGTGCTGCATGGAACAATGCTACAATATCAGGAGTAACAAATTGTAATCGTTTTTATATTTGAAAGTAATGATAAAATGAAAATTTGTGAAAAATAAGATTGCGAAGAATATCACATGTTGGCGTTTCGTCCCGGCTTCCCACTACTAGACTCATCAATAAGATAATATAGTAGAAGCCTACCTTAGACGCCTGGGGGAGATATTAGAAAGAAGTTCTATATAAACAGATACTCATGTATTTCGACACTTGCGAGAATTGGCATGAGTAACTGTAGACCTCTGTTGGCTAATCGACATAGTGATATTCTTCACAATGTTTTTAAGGCGATGCTAAAGTCGTCCTGTTTCCAATTTTCTAGTGAAATTAAGGTTTCCAGTATAGTTTTTTGTGCATACTTTTATTCTGTAAAAGGATTTTACAATCCGTAAAGCCAATTCGGATCATTCTTTTCAAATAGAATCATGATAAATCAGCTGATTTAGCATCGCCTTAATATTTAAATAATTAATTAAAGCGCATTTTTCAGATTCGATTAGGCATTTCACTTTCTCTGATTTTCATCACACGAGTCAATTAGTATCTTCATTCATTATATATTTATATCGCGCGGCCTGAAAAATGCGCTTTAATTAATTATTTAAATATTAAGAACATTGTGAAGAATATCACTACGTCGACTAGCCAACAGAGGTCCACAGTTACTCATGCCAATTCTCGCAAGTGCTGAAATACATGAATATCTATTTATGATATATAGAACTTCTTTCTAACATCTCCCCCAAGCGTCTAAGGTAGGTTCCTACTATATTACCTTACTGATGAGTCTAGTAGTGGGAAGCCGGGACGAAACGCCAACATGTGATATTCTTCGCAATCTTATTTTTCACAAATTTTCATTTTATCATTACTTTCAAATATAGAAACGATTACAATTTGTTACTCCTGATATTGGGTCTGTTTTTTGTTCCTCCACTGTCTGAACTAGTGCACACGGTGCAATAAGTTAAAATGAAACAAACGTATATTTGTTTCACTTCAACTTATTGCACCGTGTGTACTAGTTCAGACAGTGCAGGAACAAAAAACAGACCCATTGTAGCATTCCATGCAGCACAATGATTTTATAATATTAGAATTTCTTAATAAGGATCCAAACCGAGGATCAAACATAAGAAAAAACGGTACAAATAAATTAATCGTATAAACACATACCAACATCCTGTGTACAAGACTCGATTAGGCATTTCATTTCCTCTGATTTTCATCATACGAGCAATTAGTATCTTCATTCATTATATATAGCTAAATAATGTTTGTGACAATTGTAACTGAATTCGGAGGAAATCCGTAAAAAGTTATAGAATTTCAAAAAAGTTATAGAAAGTCAAAAGTTATCAAATTTCGAAATTTTCGAAAAATACTACTCGCTTTCCGACGTGCTCTAAGTTTCGCAATTTTTAGATATGGCGCTCAAGTTTTGCCCACAAGAGAACTGTATTAAACAACTTGGGGCTGACTAATCCGTAAAGAAGTCTAAAAGTTATGAAATTTTTAAACAATTCCATTTTTCAAGAAAAAAGTTTTTGGATGAAAATGATGCTTCCTTCAGAAGAAAGTCAAAGTTGGTTAATACCCCCACTTATAGAGAGGGCTTTATTAGTCAGGAAGCATACTGTTCAAAGCATTTTTCATGCGAGGAACCTATTATCATTAGAGAGGCAGAATTTCTTGGAATTTTCTTCTGTAGACTTGCTTCTCCTTTTTCGGGAAGAATTTGCTATTTCATCGTTTGTGAAAAGGTGGCTCATTAGGTCGCATGTCATTTTTCCCACATCGTTCTTTCTAATCTTTTTCATGATCTCATAAGGCACAGTAATTCCCCTGCCCAAAGTTATCTGATTCTATGCAAAAAAATAAAGTTACTATAAAATTTATATACCGAACGAGGAATCGTATTGTAAGGGCAAAGCCAAAGTATTTTTTCATATTCAGAACCATGAACATGTAAAAATAATATATTATAAAGTACTCCAAGATTAAATTATATACCAAATTTCGTACAAATCAAAATGGATTAGTCTATTATAAACAGAAATATTATTAAATACATTGTTATTCAAAAAGCTCCTTGTCTCAGTTTTTGAGAGTACGTATCAAATT